AACATATAAATAAAACATATATTCATCATAAATTTTACATATAATGCCATTTATTATATTAAATATTGCAACAATAAGTACATTATAACACTATAGTATGACTATGTAATAACATCAATACTTTAGAGGTGTTTTTACATGAGAATTTAAGATTGGCACGAGTCCGCATGACATGGCGTACCTCAGACCTCGGGTCGGCTAATTCAAGACCGCAAGACATGGCGCACTTCAGATATCAAGATATCACGCGCGCAAGATCATAAAGACATGACGTGCACAAGATCGAAAAGACATGGCGCGCTCAAAACCCTAACACCAAGTTCACACTGGTACGGTTTGCCGAATCGTTTTTCTGGACGGTTTCCAGGGGCGAATGCGAATATATGGATGAATTCACGCTATATGGTAAAATCGTATACGGTGAAAAAGCCGATTCTTTTATTTTCGCTGCCGTGTATTGTCTCTGGAAACTGTGAGCGGCGTGCGGTAAAATAACCGAATCGGTCGCGACCGCAATCATTCGGTTCGGTTTTTCGTATCAACGTCGTCGTCCATTTTCCACGAAATTTTGTATTATGAGAGGTCCGGGCTCTGCCCCGAAAAATGATTTCGGAAAAATGACTCACAAAACGTATAAATGTGAAAGCATATAGGTTTGATTAACCTATACGGTAAACCGAATAAGAAAACTGAATCGGATAATTCGTACTAATGTCAACTAAGGCTAATAAGATACGGCACAAGCAAGACCATGATATTTGAGACAATCTCAAAAATTCTGGCCAAACCCGAAAGCGGTCTCGTTTCTCAGCACTAAAGGAAAGACTAAGGAAGAAAGAATAACATCAATCATGAATACTTTAAATTAATTTGTTTTAATACACTAATTATATTATAATCTACCGTTATGTTATGCCTCTGTCAAACAGATTTAACTCTAACAATAGATTCTTTCCAATATTATGTAAGTTTCACAACAAAAATGAATATTTTAACTTGCGTTAAACTGCAGGAAATAACTAGTTAAAAAAGCTTTCTTATTGAAACCTACTGAAATTCATAGGTATATTATATAAATACATAAAGATATAAGAAAAAAAGATTAGGTACTATTACTACTACTCGTGGTGTGGACTAAAAGCGGCAATTACTGCGCCGAAAACTTACCAGTGTGGGGACACTGGTAAGTTTTCTGAGTGACAAGATCGTACATACCTCGCTGGTATGTACAGTACACATCGATATGCCGTTCATGTCCTTTAATCTTCGAAATTAAAAACGATCATCTCATTGGTTTTTGATTGATGATCTTATTGAGGGGTGCACGAAAGGAGCCTCCCCGCACGACCTACCATTCCTTTCCTGACAGTTTGGCGCTTCCAGGGCAACAATCGGCGCGTACCTAACGCCTATTGGCAAATACTTTCAGTAAGGTAACGAGCATTACATTGTTTCTTAGAATGTTATTCAATTCCACTAAATAATTACTTAATTTCATCACAGTTGTTGTGTTGTTATGGGCGTGTTCCCATTATGTCGTAACGCTTAATTTACCTTCGCGTCTAGCCTGTTCCCATATCACGACTATCTGTCGTGTCTGTGTCGTGGACGTTTATTTTATCGTTGAACGATTGTCGTGTTCACACTATATCGTGACGACAATTTAACGGTTTATTTATGTTCGACGATTGTCGTTCTAGCTCTTCCCATTGTCATGAAAGTCTGTCGTCGTAACGTCAAAAACGTCGTGAATGACAGTTAATCGTGTTGTTCTATGTGTGAACAACTTCTTTGAAATATATAAGCCACGACACTTTAAACTGCACGACTGTCTGTCGTCACGACATATTGGGAACGAGCCTTTAATCTATAAGGTACGTATTTATGGGTCATTGTGTCCTGAATATAAATAAATAAATAAACAATTGATAAACTAGTCCTGAGACATTCTTTGCTTATGCTATTCTACAACATCCCAAACTGGTCCCGTCTTGGTACTCGAAGATGGACTACAGTGCACTCCCCATCATAAACATCTACACGTGAAAGCGATCAGCTTCTTGCAGTGAAAGGTCTGGGGCAGTAAATAATAGACGGATAGGTTTCATGTAACAATATTTATGATAGTCAGGAACTATAGTTATTTGTGTTTAAATTGCGAATATATCTGCACTATAAATATATTCCCAGCCTTATATACTTAGTTCTAAATGCAGATACCATCACAATTTTAATAAATATGAGTTATACACATTTAATCTTTATGTTATTTATTTATTTTTAAATTTAACTCAGTGGTAATTTTTTTCATTTTAGGTTTTTATACCCTATTATTTTGTTTCATTTGTAGAGATAATATTTATTATATATTAATAAATTGAATTTTTACGTTAGTCTCAATTTTCAAGTTATGGCGATTACCACACTGTCCGCGTCACGCAATGTTGTGCATGACGAACGGAATCTAAGTCCCACGCGCGGTAGCGGAGCCGCAGATCTGCGTCAATACTTCATTAAGGCTGGTTTCACAGCTGTGCGTACTGTCCGTACAGACAGTCCGCCTGCGTAGAATCCGCAATGCTCTGAATCGAACATTTAATTTAGTGTGGATATTCTTGAAAGACAGTCGCCTACAATGAACACACGGATGGCTTGTGCGGAGTTCACGCGGAGCAATCCGCATCACTGTAAAACGATGATATAAGGCTCAATTCACAATGGCGCAGAGTCGATACGTCGCACCGTCGCACCACAGGTGTTACTCCGCTCCGGTGCTTCGCAGCGGTTCTACGGCCCCGCACCACATAGGGATCGCTCCCTCTAAAGCCGGGTTTTCATGTACGAGCTCTCTCGGATGACTACTCGGACACTACTAGTAGCGTCAAAACACGTGATCCGAGTGCAGTCGTACGTCGGCTCACGCACGCGTTGCACTCTCACACGGAGATGCGTCACAAACTGAAATACTTCGGTGCAACGTTAAAAAACGCAGCTCCGCACGCCGTTGCATGACGCGGAGCAGTGTGGAAGAGGCCTACAATAAGACAAAAACCAAATTATAAGCGTATTATGCTTTGTATTTTAAACTTTTAAATAATAAAAAATGTATTTTTAGTTGACTACAATAAAAATGATTATTATTTTACAGTGTTTAATAATTTTGTTATACGTATTTTTAAAAGATTCAATACCATGCACCACTTTAGCAACTCGGTTTAACCATGTACAACCGACAACACATGTGTGATGAAAATGCGAATGTTTTCTAAACATTCATACCAGGATTGTTGCTGATGCAGATTTCTTACGCATTAGAGGATGCTGATGCGGATGCTTATTTTAGGTTTTAAAAAAACGCGAAAAATGTATAGCCTTGCTGAATCTATTTACATGTAAAAGCTTTTTATTTTGTTTGGTATTGTAATAAATATTAATTCAATAATTTTGTGAGATTTATGAACAAAAGAATCAATGTTAATGAAAACAATCATTCTGCCTAGCTTAATCGTTGTGGAATTTTATCAAAGAGATATATTAAAAACAACAGCTAACCTGCATTTTTGGCTTACAGTATGTTTCTGCAAGGTTTGTAAACTATTCCAGCGTGCCTTTTAGGTCATGTCACAACTCGAGCACCCGCAATGCATATCATCAGCATCGATGAATGCGGATGCTGATTACGCAGTAGATCCGCGAATGCGGATATTGATATCCGCAACAACCCTAAATCGAACCAATTGTAAGTCACTGATGTTGTTGACTGTACAAGGTTTTGAAGAGGATTAGGGCCTTCAAATTAAACGCTTGTAACGATCATTCTCGGACTAGAGTTCAACCTAATTTCCGTGGCAATTTTTATGATTTGAGCATTAAGTTTTATGGTGCAATATTATTTAATATTCGAGTATTGTATCGTGAAATATTATTTCATAATTACGATATTAATAAAAATTGCCACGCAAATTAGGTTGAACACTAGTCCGAGAACGACCGGTAAAAGTACCGCAGTGGCGCGTCTGTAGCGCATCTGTGGAGCGGCAGCCGCGCCTCTACTAATTTTCATACTATATCTAGTCTGCAAAAGTGATAGCATGTGGCGCGACTGTGGCACTGCAGCTGCGATTCTAAATATTGTATGAAAATGAATAGTGGCGCCATTGCCACGCTTCTATAATCATCTAATTTGAAGGCGCCTTTATAAGTCGATCTTTAGTTTCGCTGTAGTTTGAGATTATATCAAGTGAAACTAACTCTTACTCTAGTAGGAATAATACATAATATTCAACATATTGTACAATATCAAAAAATTCATGGTAAATCTGAGAAATAAACAAACATATTACTAAGTTATCTCTTACATATATGCGTACATACTATTACAGTCGAAAACATTATATTTTTTATAGCCGGATTTTCGTAGAAGTGGTCATTGTTACAAATAAGATAGAGAAAAATACTTTTGGCATAAAAACACTTGGCTGCTACTCGATTTTCGTACGTATAAGTCTTGTACGTTCAAACAAAGCTCTTATAGACGACAATGCAATAGAACTTACTATTGTTCAGCCACGTGGAATTAAACGTATCTACGTACCAAAATCACAATCTAAAAGTTTCCGGGAACGTATTTAACTCCGTAATTTTTGCCCATTATATGTGCATTTGCCGGTGCAGATCCATTATTTGTGCGAAATAATGGTTCCAATGTATAATTAACTCGAATATTATTGAACGTGACTGGGTAATTATCAAATTTGTTTTCTCTGTCTAATTTTGGTGGTAATTTTTATTATTTTAATGTTGTAGAGTATTATCACGAAGTATTATTTAATATTTGAATATTAAATAATATTTCAGGACAATATACTCGAATACTCAAATAACAAAACTTGCCACCGAAATTAGGTAGAGAGAACTAACCTGTAAGAAACCAGCTACCAACCAGAAAACTATAAATACAACATAAAATGCATGCAAATAAAATATAATATACAATGTACAGGTCAAAGGACAGATTCCGGTAACCGAAAAAATAATAATAATAAATTAAATTAAATCATGTCTGCATGCGCCCACCGTTAAATTTTGCACGCGCTGAAAAAGCCTATAAGGTTTACCTCTTTCGGTCCCTGCCAGTAAAATTTTATGTAATGCGTGATATAATCTCAAACTATAGAGTTAAAAAGCGCGTCATTGAAAAGTCACAACCCAAACACATTACTGGCAGTCATGGCAGGGCTCCGTGGACCTCTTCCTCCGTTCCTTCTCTTCCACGTCATCCAATTCCTCACTGTCTCTTCCCAATCTAATGAAGTGGTCTCGAGCCCTACTTTTCCTTTGGGGATATCCATTTACAACCAACTCTGTACCTTGTTCAATTCCCTTGTCGTCGGCAATTCTTCCAAAACGAATGAAGCTGGGATCACGACCGTATCTGATGAAACTTGGTGATCTTTTAGATTCGTAGTCTTCGTCGTAAGACTTAATAAGGTTAAGCAGGTCGTCAGCAGTGAGGGCGATAGGTTGGGTTCTGCCAAAGCGAACAAAAGCGTTGCCACGGCGAGCAGGACGCTCGAATGCTTCTCTGATGTCCGCTGCTGTAGGTTCTTGTGGGTATGACCTGCCAAACCTGTCATAACAATAAAAGGATGTTATGAATAAGTCAAAATAAAAGCTTTACTTGTGTCTAGATAGTGGTAGGGTTTTATTTATAGAGTTCTTACTAGTATTATACATTATACTTTGTAGACTATAAGTATCTACTTACAATAATAATGGTATAATCTACATCTGTATCTGCATCTTTGTTCTAATTTAAATTGTTATTGTATGTCTTATGATTATTTGTATGGAAACTGTTTTTAGTGTGGTTTTGTGTTGTTATATTCGTGCCAATAAAAATGTGACTATGTCTAATTTATTAACAATTAGTGATAAATGCCCCAATACAAAAGATCTGTAACACATAGAGAATTCGTAAAGTCTGCTGACTTGATCTGTAACTCAGTTGGAATATAGACGCAGGTTCGGATCCCGTCGGAGCGGAGGAATTTTTCTTGGTGTGTAAAAGATAGAACACAAAGTAACATTAACAAAGAAATTGAGTAACAGTAGACCTCCTTACTACCACCCTCCCTATTTCGGCCGCCATCCAGTAATGTGACTATTACTGCGTTCCGGTTTGAAGGTAAGGGTGCTGGTGAAATCAGAGGCACATGGGACTTGTCAACTTATGTCTCAAGATGATGGGCGCAGTGGTAGTGCCCATAAGATCTTTGCTATTTGAAGCTCTAAGTGGCATTGCAACTGCTATGAATAGGCGCACGAGTTGTTCGTCCGTCGTTCGTCGTTGTTATAATTACTCTTGGACATACATATTAATTTTCACGGGTTCGCTTAGTATTATACTTGTTCGTTAAGGTACTTTTAAATTCAGTTTTATTACAGTTTTCAATTTCAATATCAGCCAAATATTGAACTTTTGATTTTTTCGGGAAGTATTTTACAGTAGGTAAACAGTTTATCATAGTCTCTCTATACATATATAAGGATGAGGTTCTCAATTGGACTGCATTTTGATGATTCTTTTTTGTTGCAAAGAGTGGTGAACTCAGTAGTGGTCCCATTTCAATTTGAAGAAAATATTGTCACTAGGGGACGAAAAAAGTTTCACGCACTTTCCGGTAACCGATTTTAATAAAACTTGGCAAATAGATGTAATTCCACGAACTTTTGAGGTTGGTTTTTTTAATACTCTGTACTGATAAATATTATCAATGCATGTTGTTGACTGCGAACGAATAAAGGGGTTGTCTAGGCAAAATAATTTCGAAATAATAATGTTTACATTCCCATTCAAATCGATCAGCACACCTAAGTAAATATTTTGTTGTCGTATTTAACTTTAATTTCATTAAAGTCTATTCTGTTTGCAATTCCAAACAACCCCGTTAAAAGTGTTACAAATCGAACATCGAACGATCAAACATTTCTTCGTATTTACTTAAATTATAGATTCTTACTCAACAATTCGCTAACGCCCTTCACAAACCCCATTACCTGATAAGGCTTCGGTCAATTGCGCTTCGTCGTCTCGCTTCAAGGTCCGGCGACCGTCTGACAGGTGTAGACGCTGTCCCGACTACCAGCCACACCAATGCCACCACCACCACGCTGCAGGAATGCCTCATCGCTCAGAGGTGATCTGGGGAAGAAGCAGTTTCTATAATAACTTTGTAGGTGTTTTTTATGATACCACGTGATGGGACAAACAAGTCTTGCACCTAGTGTTAAGAGACACTTCTGTCCCTAACAATTGCTGTACCACGTAAACCTTAAAATCCCTAAGATCTGAGGGAGACTGCCACTAACCTTGAGACATAAATTGACAAGTTCCAAGTACCTGTAATTTCACCAGCACAATTACCTTTCAAAACCGGAACGCAGTAATGCTCACATTACTGCTGGGTGGCAAAAATATGTAAGGCAGTACTTCACTGGAGGAACTTTTTCACAAGGATCATTACTGCTGCTTAAATTCGTATGTAGTCGGCCAAATCCAAAGATATATTTGAAAATCCTTTGTTAATGTTAATCCTTTGTATAATTTAACTTATGACTGAGTATTTTGTTAACAGTAAAGCTTAAATATCTTATAAAATGAGTTTAGATTGGTTTAGATGCATAATTCGTAGAGTGACAGTCCCTAGAGGGCTCCCTGTGGGACACCACCTCTCACTCATCTTTAGTCTATCGAATCAAACGCAAATCTATGTAATTTTATTTTGTTATAACAGAAGAATGGGAATAAATTACGTTATATAGAATTCTAAGGCTTATTCTATGCCAACTACAGACTAAAGGTATATTGTGTCAGAAGCCCCGCAAGACACGACGTGCGACTTTTGTCTGCTTTTACACTATTTGTAACTTTCTGATTACGTCAACATGTTTTGGTCCTAACAAACCTAATCAATACTGCTTAATTGATATTTTGTTACGAGAAACAAAGTTTTTATTAGATAAGTTTTTAAGTATTTGCGATTGCTACACATTGGAAATGAAACAATTTTTTTAAATCCAAATTGCATAATATACTTGTTCTTTTAATAAAGCTGACGTTTCGGACTCTTTATTTTTCTTTCTTTCAATCAGCCGTGACCATGGACCTGTAAAGAGTTCGAAACCTTTGTTTGGAAAACGAGCATGGGATTTAAATAATAGACTTACATAAAATTGATGAATTTGGGCGACAGCGCTAAGGCAACCAAAATGCTGGCATCTTTGTAAGGCTACGTTAAGTTAGGCAAGATAGCTGCCAGTAAGAAGGTTCTCAATCCAATTTTATTTGTGTGTATGTTAAGCGATTCCTCCTGCATTTGTAAACCGACTTCGATGATTTTTTTTTTGTTGGAAACGGGGTATCCAGTAGTGGCCCCATTGATTTTTGAAGAAAATACTCTACCTAGTTGCAAATTAGGAGATGAAGAAGCCTGTTTATTGAATCTCATCTACTTTTCGTTAACCGATTTTAATAAAACTTTGTACATAGATGTAAGTCTAGTGGCTGATGATGGACATGGCAGTCAGAATTCTGCAACAAAATTTAATTATAAAATTTTTTTATGCTATTAAGTGACGGGAGGAACACATCGTACGCCTGGTGCTAAGCAACAAGCTTTGAATCGCAAAGATCTAGCTGTATTCATCCTCCGAAGAAGTGTTTGAGTTTACATTATGATTCGTTTTGACGAGACTTGCTCCCGCGCTTAAATTATTGTTGCGGAGACCGCAACAATGAACAGAGTGAAAGCGGAAGAGCAAAGTTTTGAGGTCAGATTTTTTTATAAAAAATTGTCTTGGGTGTCTGTCTATCATTTTATCGAATGCAAGGCGCTAAGAGCTCAAGAACACCACACCGAAAGGTGCGCTTTTATCACCTGTGATGTGAAGAAATGTACAATTAAAAATCTGATTTATCAAGTTAAGCTACAATCACACTTCTTGACTAAATTTATCATTACATGTTTGCTCTAATAAGCTCCACTTTATACTCATAACATTTTTTTTTTCAGTGTACATTGAAGTAAATTGTGCTCGTGCTTTTAAAATAAAGTCGTAAAATATTTACAGCTCTATTATTATTATGGGGAAATGTTAAAATGTAGAATAACAGTTTCATCCATTAATGGCTGTACAAGTGAACTTGACAAGGTCGCCTTGCCAGACCGAACGGCGCCACTGTCTGAAAAGCCACAAGCCCGATGATACAGGGTTGGCAAATTCGAACTAATTTAATACAATGTATACGATAATATCTATAGTGTTTAAGAGATGAAATATCTTCACGTCATATTAACTTTCGTTTCAAAAATAAATCGTCTGATTATTGACATGGAATGCGAAGGTCATTTGAAAAACAATACATCAGAAAAGCACTTAATAGAATCCAAACAGATAAATCAGAATTCCACCTAACCAAACATGTGTACAAAATCTTCGCGGTACTACTTGTTGGTTCTGACAAAACAGAAACCACCCGACATTAAATGTACCAAAAGCGACCTGTGCAAATAACCGCACTCTGATAGATTACAAAAAGAAAAATACAAACGCTGAAGACAACTGTAACATTGTACTGTAATGAATTATTGTACGATAATTGTTATTTCGGTCAGTGTTCACTACCTAATTTCCGTGGCAATTTTTATTATTTAAATATTCAAGTACAACACCCGGAGTCAAATTAGCAACCCGCCAAATTATACAGAAGTCTGCGATCTCCCGACATCCATCTAGGCATTTTAACCCGAATTCCTGGAGACTGACTGTCTGGACCGTAATTTGGAAGTTTATTGCGCCGACGCAAATTATTACAGAAATTATATTTTTATTAAATATCATAATGTTTTCACTATAATCATATTGGCAAAAAAACACTATAAAGATTCGCAACAAGCACATAGAGAAATTTGTAAGACCTGCTGGCTCGATTCGTAACTCAGTTACCAAAGCGGTAGCCACGTTGAGGCTACAGTCGCTGGATTGAGTCCAGCGGGACGAATGAATTTTTGTTTGTATTTGTTCGATGGCTGTATCATTAAATACTATTACAAAAGTGCTTAAGGAATTTAGAAAAATGGTAAATTTATAATGTTTTCTATAATCTTGATGAATTTTATAAAGAGAAATCAAGTTTTGAAAATTTGTTTACAGGGTTATTTTTGAAACACTAACAACCTCCCAGGCTATATTACTAACATCATAAACAACAACTTTGTTCCGTGGCTTTATATTAATTCCTTAATTTTAATGGTTCATAAAATAAATGTTTCTGATTTAATCAATGGTACGTATATGTTTTGTATACAAAACTACAGACATTACATAAAGTTACTAGCGTACCCACACCCCTGGTTCAGTAGGTACGCTATAGAGACCGATATATCACCGTCAAAATATCATAGGTATAGTGATCTATATCTATTTCATCTGATAACTGTATCGCATTCGCAATACGTTTGCGTAAATTCTGGAATTTTAATTCTTTGTGGAATATACAATACTTATAGGCTTGCTTTATGGTTGGCTGTGTGCATTGTCCTGATGATGATGGCTGTGTGATAAAATTATATGTCGTTGTTAAATAAATATAGGTATTACAACGTAAAACTCTAGCAGCATTGAGTTTGTCGCAGATTGTGCAGTTGTCATCTACACGATATAAAAATTAGAATGTATATTAAAAATTATGTAGGTAACGACGCGTTCTTATTACGTCGTCACTTTTATTTACCATTAGACGACTGTCGCGTCTAACCTGTTCCCATATCGTGACTATCAATCGTGACTGTGTCGTGGACGTTTATTTTATCGTTGAAAGACTGTCGTGTCTAGCTGTTCCCATTAGATCGTGACGACAATTTATCGATACACGGCAGCCGCCTTGTCGTTTGCCCGACATAATCGTTGAAGCTGCGATTATCTGTTGTCACATTTTTATCGCAACGTTTTATTTACAGCCGTTCTAGCTCTTCCCATTATTGTCACGACAGTCTGCCGTCGCGCGTCGTACCGTCAAAAAAGTCGTGAACGAAAGATAATCATGTTGTATGTACTATATGTGAACAACTTCATTTAAATATACAAGACACGACACTTTAAACTGTACAACTATCTTTCGTCACGACATAATGGGAACGCGCCCTAACATAAGATTTCTGTGGCACATTTCACGGATAGCACGCCAAAAGTATGTTGTAAAAAAACAAGCACATATACGTACATTACGGATTAATGGTTAGGCGCAAACCAGCACCGCTAACCCGACAAGCAATGCATTGCATCGCATTACTAGCTGACGAGTGTAAATAAATATAAGTAGTTTTACCACAAAAATGTTATGTAAGTTAAAGTTACAATTTGACCAATGTAGGGGTAGATTTACGCTCTAGTTCCTGCAGTTCTGGTAGCAAAATCTGGTAATAAAGTTGAGGTTACAGCGTTAAAGTGATAAAGTAAAGAAAATGTTTATTTGTGAACTTGTATTTTGCTAGTCAAAACAAAAAAAAAACAGGAAACAAGTAAATCTTCTAAAATACGATTCTAGTAAACGCTACGTTGAGTTATAATTATGTTTCCTTCAAACAACGAGAGAAAATAATAATAATAGCGTCATAGTCTTTGAAATTGGGGGAATACGAAATTTTCCTATTCTTCCAATACATCATTGCTGACGCACCCTAGTCTGTCTTTGATGGAGTTGTAATGGTCAAGTCCAGTCGGTTTGAGTGAGCATGAGACTGGTTTGTGGGTGAGTTCTGGTTGACCCGGTGCTGTGTGTAAAATTTATAAGCGAGGAGAAGGAAGGGCGCCTTACACACAACGAAAACAAGTTTCAAGTAGAAATAACCAGATGTTTTATTTTAAATTTACTATTGTTACATGTTACAGTTAAATTTAAGAGAACAGTATGGAGAACTAGAATTTTACTTCCCCGAGTTTACATTAGGAGTGTATAGATATGCTTACTTAAGCTCTGAGGGGCACTATAACTGCGCCAGTCACCCTGAGACATAAGTTGACAAGTCCAATGTGTCTGTAATTTCACCAGCGCTCTTACCCTTCAAAACCAGCAGTAGTAGAGCTCCTTGTGAAAGAGTTCCTCCTGGAAAGTACTACCACTGACGTT